CTCAATATTTGACATTATTTGAAGTGAATGCAAATAAGCAAAAATAGAACAAAGAACTAACTTTATTTAATAGAACATGATTAATGGTAAGCTTACTAATCTGAACTATTTATACATTGAGTTCAGTGAATAAATCACCTTATGCATTTGAAAGAGTTTTCATCTAGGTGAACGATACCATCAATATCTTCAAAGATTGAGAAAATCTAAAGATGACTTTAACACCATGTATTTAATTATGAGTTAATGAGTACATTGGAGAAGAATAGTAAGAGCGATACAGAGAGACTAGAAATGATGAAGTGTTCAGTTGTCGAATTAGATTTCAGGCTATTTTATTTTTTTAACGAGTGTTTATTTCGAAATCATTACAAGTTCTTTGTGTTTGACATTTGTTCACAAGAATCAATGAAAATTAGAAAAGTTCATTACTTCTTTTGCCATTCGTTTTGTTCAATCTTTGCCAATAGAAAAAAAAAGTTTCATTAATTTTTTCATGTATATTTTTCATCATTGAATGTCATGTATCAGAAAAAAAACGGATTCATCTACTGTAAAATACTGATTAAAGTCGATTTGACTACCTTCATAGCCGAAAATTAAACATTCTGATAAAAAAACATCTGTCTTTTCTGATGGTCAAAAATATTTGTACTGTCTAAATAAATAGTTATCAAACTAATCTTCTAAGTCTCGATAATTGAACATTATTATTTATCTTTTTTTAAATATATTCAATGATAAAACTCTCTTTCGAAAGACATTGAAAAAGAGTATTAAAGCAAAAAGTACGACTGGAATAGATTTATAAAGTGATATTCATTTTTTTTTGAGCTCTTTCCGCACTGATTTATGCTACAATTAAAAAAAAAAATCTTATGATGATTATATTGTATATGCATGTCAATGTGATAATGTGAAAACCGTTTTTTGAAAAAAAACATCTTTCTCATGTTTAGAAAAAATGCTACATTGCACAACAAGCCTTTTTAAATCTAATTTGAGTTTCTTTTTTAATATTCTGGACTCATCTTCTTCATTTCTATATTTGCACATGAATTTATTTATCAAATGAAGATTATATTGAGATAACTTTTATTCATTTTCTTTTCAAAAAAGAAGTCTTCTTCACTGTACAATAGAATTGATATATTAATAGACCTGTCTCTAGAGATAACATCTTGTAGAATTCTTTATGAACCTTTGGAGCCTTTCCAGCTGGAAAAGTTCGTACGAGATCTAAACATGCAATTGGACGGGCTGCAAATTCAGCTCAATCTCTTGTTTTTTAATTAGGCTTTTTCTGCTTCAATTTTAAGTAAAGATACTTTGTTACTGAGAGTGTACAATTTATTAGATGATAAACAATTGTTTCTCAAACAAAAGCTAGGTAACACAATGCATGTGACACCATTCCGCAAAGGCTAAAAATCAATGGAGAAACTAACAAGTCTCATTGAAATATATTTTTGGCGACCTCCAACGAGAAGATGTTTACTGAACGCTGACAAATCTAAGTCTTTGTATACTTCTGGAAACGTCATTAGACTACTGGTTAGCAAGTGCATTGGAGTTTCTTACGACAGATCAACGATTCCTAATTCTATCGACCGTCTTTGAAGACTTTTAATACTTTTTTTTATATTATGTACTTTCTTTCGTCGACATAGAGCCATACTTGCTAATGTTACATGGAATATATATAGAGTTGGGAAAATTGTTGATAAAGTAACATAAATGATATATCATCCTTAGTTAAATGCAAACCTTTTACCTGGAAGTGATTTTTATCTTTTATCTATTAACTAATTGACAATATCGATCATTATTTACTACTTACCAGGAATAGTAAGTGGAATATGACACCCCTCCTTGTAAGGCTTCTCTCTGACAATATATTTTGTACGCATTTGAAAATTTTTCAGATATGATTAACATAAAGAAAATATTATTCATCTTAGGGTTTTTTTTTATTATATTTAAATTATACCAGAAAAGTCAAAATCGATACTTTCAATATTTTCTTAAACCTGAAACAATTGTCAATCTAACATCATTAATGGTGCCCTTAACACACATGGAACGAAATTCAACATTTTACTGTTCGGAGATTACTCTTCAAACTAGATATAAATTAGAATTTCAACAACTTGAACATTATGATTTAAGTCAATCATATGAACAACCACTAATGAGTAAGCGTTTACAGCGATATAACGAGTCATCATTACCACAACTACCTTATTTCTATTCTTTGTGGAAAAATTCATCGATTCTTCCACGTTTAATGACACCATGCGAACATCAAGTATATATTCACTTAATGGAAACATTTGATGAAATATGTCGAAAAAACAATATAGAATATATGATTACTTATGGTGTTTTATTAGGATCATACAGAAACCACGGTAAGATCTTTGATGATTTTCAAACTCTATTTATATAATAGTTTTCGCAGCATATACTACTTTT